TAACCTGTGGAAGGACCTTGCGACTTCTTGTTGTTGCTTATGTTTTGTGATACCATAATAAATACATCCACGTAACTTGGTTCAGAATGAAAGAGGCGTTCTTCGTGTATTTTCTTTTTTGCCAATGCCTGGATTTTTGACATTTTCATGTAATTTTTCATTTTTCTACCACTCCTTGGTTGATTGAATACATCCGCAGACGTCCACCTATTGACCTCTCTAAGCGACCATCTATTGATTGAGCTGATAAAGTGAAAGTAAAGTAGGTTTTGATCAGTGTTCCAGTTGGTGGATTTAAAATATAACTGAAAGCCATAAATGATATTTTAAGTAATATAATGTGACCAATTTTCTGATATTGGTTGTTTATTTATATTATTGATAAATAATTACTTTTCTATTTAATTGACTTGAATTTCTTATTAACTTTCATCTTTTTAAAATACAGGTTTTTTTTTTATGAGATTTCAACTGGTTTAATACATAAATTATGTCAAGCATAAAAGTGTAGGTCTATATAGGCCAGTCTCTCTTTAACAGGTTTCTGAATGAGTAAAAGAATTGTTTGGGTCTCTATGTGCTAGTTGTTAACAGTAATTGCCCAAATCACTGTCTTCTGAATTGAATGTCATGGACTGGATTCCTCAATTCAGAGTCAACTTATTTTTCCCAATTGGATAATATTAGGAAGATATTTTCAGCAATTTTCCCTTGCAGCTTACAACCCACTGTATGGAACACACTTTCCTCTCTATGACCCATCTCTACTGCCTTTATGATGTAGATAACATTCACCAAGCTTTCAACTTGGAAACTCATGATCTTTGGAGTAGATAGCCACTGGGTTAAAAAGAGTAAACTATGGATTTTGATATTGAATATGATATTAGATAAAGAAATGCAGACAGATATTGCTGTGTATGATATATAATGTTATTAAGATGATGTATTATCTATGACCAGACAACATCTGTTCCATTCTCACCAATTACTCCCACTTACTGTAGATTCTGCTTTGAAGATATTATCAGTTTAGTCTGATTTGGACAGTAAAATATTTAATGGAGAATCATAATTGCTTTTATAGTTATATCTTAAACAGTGATGTTCTATTCAAACTTTTGCCATACATGATTGATTGGAGCTCTTAAAACATATGTAGATTTGTCTTTTAGGCCATTATTATTATAGTTTGAAGATAATATTAAACAAAATTTTCTACCTGGCAGTCATCTTTTGAATTAGCTTAGTCATGCTCATAGGACAGTAATTTGATGAAATTCTCAAGAAAAAGGTTTTCTGTACATTCCAGCCTCTCAAATGAGAACAATAATCATTGCAACCATCAATTTGTATCAACAATTCACTTACAAATATATGGTAAAACATGAATAGAAATATCAGTTCAAAACAATTCATCTTCTTTACTATTAAATATATTATGAGGTTCTTCATTTAACTAGCAGTTGTATTACAATGATAAATTGCTAAAAGCTGCATGATAATTTCAATAGCAACTCATGATAGCTGTATATTCAATCAAAAAATTGAAAACAATGCTAAAGAAAATGATCATGTGCATGGATTTGGCAGCTACAAGAAATCAAATATATATGATAGTTTTGAATCAATTGTAAACTTGATGTATTATATTTAAACAATTTGGTAATAGATATGTAACTTGTAACTTCCATTGTACTTAAAGGGACAGGTAGCCATTTTTTTGACCAATCATACATTAGTCTCGGAAACTGGAATTTTTTAACTGAGCTAGTAATCTGTGATATTGTTTTTTCAGCTCACCGTATAAATTTGAGCCTTCAAATCCATGTGAATGTTAAAATGACTCATCAATTTAAGATACTCTGTGATATATAGAAAAGACATTTATAGAAATAGTTTGTAGTATTTTGGAATTATGTAATTTTTGTACATTTCTAGTACTTCTGAAGACTATTATTTACATATATTCAAGACTAAAATCAACCCCACGAAAGGCACACCTTAAGTGATGCCCATATTTTTAAAGAATTGTTAGACTAAAGGATTTCTTTTTAGGGTCAAATGTTGAATTGTGAAAGATGAAATATATATAGTAAAATTATAAAATGAATGGAGATTTAGGTCCTAGTAATTAAAATTGTAAATAATTATGTAAAACAGTACAGTACTGTCTTTATTAATATAAAGAGTATCAGAGCTTCTAGCCCTTGATACATTTTAAATTGTAAATAAAGCAGGAAGTATATTATAACATATTTAGTCAAACATGATGAAAATATATCTCTTAATGTATGTATTAATTACTATTAATGTGACAATGTAGTTGTACAAAAAATCAAAATATTTTTGATAGTTAAGATATTTGTTAAACTCTTTGTACCCTCCATTGTGTTTTGTATTTTGCTTCAATATTTTGGTCAACTATACTTATAACAGACAGTATTTGATCAGGTATTGTACTCTATCGATTTGTAGGAGCAATGGATGGTGAACACCTGGTGTCACTTTGCACTTTCATCTTTCACCACCAGTAATCCTGGTATATTTACTGGTCAATAACATCAAACAAATTGTTTATAATTGTAGATTATAGGTAGATCAATGTAAATATAGATTGCTTTCTAGTCTTATATTGTTGATTTTGCACCTGTTTAGATATTACATAGATCACCAGATCTTTTTGAGGACTTAAAAGCATAATTTGTGTGGCTGCTCATTAATCTGGCGGTCTGGGGTTCGAAATCTGACTAACCTAGAGCCTAGAGTTCTTAACTGGAAGTGAAACATGCAAATTTTTTGAAGTAGTAGGGACTAAAATAGAGAAAACCTTTAGTTATCGAATCAGACAATAAACTGTTTCACACTAAAAAATGAATTAGATACATGAATTGTTATTTTCAAATTAGAAAAAGAGAACAAATAAATAAAATTAGGTATGACAAACCCAGAGTTGCAAGAATGTGCAAGCTCTACCACTCTAGTCTAGGCCTAGATGTAATAAATATACAATAATCATTACTTGCAATATTGACCTTACTGTATATAGACATCATTTAAGGAAATGCAATCAAATACACAATCAAGTGGATAATCACTACATGGAAATTGAATCATTTTCTTGACCATAAATCTACACATTACAATGAGGTGCAATAGAAGACCACATACAAATTACCTTATTATAGCTTATTATTTTAATCATAATATATTATAGTCTGTATGATATACAATACATCAAAGTGAAACTTATTTATTCAAAATATGATATTCTGATAGGTCAAAATACTATATCATAAATTATTTTAGTTTTCAAGTTTTATGTTTTCCTTTCATTTTGAGTGATTTGCTCACTATCTCCAGATGTGCTCTTAAAAATGTATGTTCTTTTCACTGGTTTCTATTATATGTGTTCAGTGATTGCAGATTTTCAAGAAGTTTAAAGAGATTTGATATATTTTCCTTTGATATGATTATTTTCCCATGGTCTTTTAAAACAAGTACAACAATGCAATGTTGCTGCTTATGATTGACCATGAATGATTTTTATATACCTTTTGTAGCAATCCATGCTCTTTTTATTGTCCACAGTCCATTGTGTGACTTCCGTTAAGCTTGTACCCTTTCCTCTACATTCAGAACTTTGTATGGATTTTCATGGTCAGTGGTCCTTTAAACTGTGGGAGATTAAAAAGTTTATCTGCTTTAAAATCTTTTAACCATATATCCTTTAATACATCTTGGAGAGTGAGAAATTTCTTTAAATTATCATCTTTTGTAAAATGACAAAACATTGCAAAAAAAACCAAAACTAAACACTATTGTATATGAAAATATGTACAGTAGTTGAAAAGACTTTTGTTTAAATTGTCATGCATCAGAAAAAAGTGTAAGTATTTGACTTGTAAGTGATGTGCTTATCACCAACATCAAAGTGTGCATGCAGGGCGTCACCTTTATTTAGGATATGCCTAGATGAGTTTATATATAGTAATCAGTACAATTATCTGTTATATATCACCATTCATATCTTTTCATCAGACGTGATTTTTTGATGTTCAAATAAGATAATCATCTTTATATATAGGTTGTTCATATTACGAATTAGATTTTGATTTACTTGCATTCTGCAGTCATAAGATTCATTTATGCTTTTGATATAAAAAAAACCCTAAAAATGCAATATTATCATAAAGAGAAAGTCAATATTATTTTGAATAGCATAATATGTTATAGTAGACAGTATCTTGCATAGTAGACAGTTATTAAGGAAGGATACTCTACAACTAGGTCTTCTCTTAAGAGTCTAGATCGCTAATATTATTGATAATTTTAGGTCCTTAATATGATTGGTTAGGGAAAGTTAAACTTCAAAGTCCAACTTATACAGTTATATTTCAACTTGTCTTTTAGAACTATAAGGTCATAACTGACTTTTTTTCTTGAAATTTACTTTCCAGCAAAAAGGTAAAAATCCTTCTTACCTACCAGATTGGTTATATCGATACATGTGTACAGGTCAGGAAAAAAAATCTAGAGATTTGCCTTGAAAAGTCTGAAGATTAGGTGAAAAGTCGGGAGATTTTTCAAAGCGCGTAAATTTGAGAATTTTAAGCTCAAATTTGCTTTTTTTTACTAAGATAAAGACTTATGCGTTTCTTATTTGCACGACACAGTAAAAATTAACAAATATATATACATAACAATAAAAATATATACAAATATAAATAAATATAATACTGTCTAAGTTTATTCATCCATTCACAAAAATCACTCATTTTTTCTTTATTTGGCTTAAAGGTCTCATAATTACACTCCATATTAAATATAACACTCATTAAAGATGTTACAGTATGGTGAGCTCAATTCCCCCTGAGAACGGAAAATGAACTTTCAACACCTACATTGCTGTTGGGTAGTGAGAGAATGGTTAAACATAGTCTGGATAAATGTAAATATAGATGAACACCAGCAACAGAGATCTTCTCACGCATCTTGGCCTAAAATTGATCTAATTTATCAAGTTCAAAATGTGGAATATCTTCATTGTCTGTCAGTTGAAGATTTACCAATTCCTCTTGTAGCTGATCAACATTTTGCACAATATTGAATCTCTTATTAATCTTGGCCACTGAAAAAATAAAAAGCAAAAGATTAAAATACACTGAAAACAATAATAAATTTAATGCTCCTGACATACCAGTGTTACATATAGATTTTTAAGCAAATAAATGGATTTTTATGAATAATAAATAAATGAATTCTTACCATTTTCAAATGAAGAGGCTTCTCTATTTCCAGGGTGTACAATTGAAATGCCATTTAGCAATTCATTGTCAAGTGGGAATTTGTTTACCATATTCTTGACCATAGTAGCATAAAATTCTCTTTTGGAGCTATAAAATATGAAAAACATTACACTGTAAATAATTCCAAAAATGCCATTCAAAACAAATGTCAACTCAGGTCTATCAGAATTAATATAACAATTATATTTACTTCAAAAGAAAATCAGATGTTACCTGTAAATTCTGTGTAGTGTTGATGGTTCAAGATTATCCTGATTATCAGCTAAAACAGTTCTGGCCTTCATTCCTATAGCTAAAAAATCCACTGGCAAAAATTATCTTTATTGATATAATCAACTTGAGTGACAACTTCTGCTGATTTTATTAATGAAATCTGTAGAAACTTTCCCAAAAAAGTCTTTAACACTATATCCATAATTTAACAACTTTCAGACTGAAATAAAATCAATTTATAAAGCTTATTTCAGTAAATTAAAATTTGAATGACCTTGAATTGATTGAGTCAGAGAAAATACTAACACAATAATGATCATGTATCTTTGAAATATCTTGGAAACATGGAACAATGAAATGGCACTTGCCTGAAACATAGTGTTGAACTTGTTCAGGTGTGGTAGAATAAACTCCAAAAAACAAAACTTGCATCTCTATGTTGGTCAGGTTTTGAGCTACTCTCTGCACTCTTCCTGGCTGATCAACATCTTCAGGGCCCTTGAAATAGGAGGATAAGGCTGCCCATTGCTGAAGAGTTGTTTTAATTACTTTCTCCAAAGATAACCATCTAGTAGCTATAGTTAAAGAGTTTGCTTAATAATTTAATATTGTATGTTTTCTTTTTTCAATGCTTAGATAGATTTTCAAATATTTATAGGTCTATAGGGCTATATCATCATTAAAAATAGTAAGCCCTTTTACATTCTCAATGAATTGATACACTTAACACATGACTGATTAATATATCGTAATTTTTCAAAAACTATTAAAGGTAGTGAGTACAAAATGAATGTACACATATTAGATGCTTTTATTGCACATGTCAACTGTCACTTAGGCCTATGGCATCATTGTATATGCATTATACTTATTGTTATGCTGTATAAATATCTAAATGGGAAAATCTTATGAATCTGGTACATAATCCAGACAAACATAGTTCACTACAGCTACCTTGTACATAACACTTAGTCTGTAATAAATACATTAGATATGCTCTGAAACATGTTGAACATACCACCACCTTGCTGACATGATGTTCTTTCAATAAGGGAGGTAATTAAAGCCTATTAATGGTCATTAACTCACTAGGAAGAATTCCTTTATTGTTATAAGTTAAGATATTGGCTTCAGACCACTAATACTAACACCTACTGTTTTATTGTCCTTTTAAACATTAATTTTAATTTTTGATGAATAATGGAGATTGGATACTGAACTAACCAATGTTTTTATGATGATTGGAGTGATCAGTTTTAGTACTGTTGACCCTTGTTTAAAGGGAAATACTTTACAATTTTGATGTGACATCTAGTTGAATTCATGAGATTCTGTTTCAATCCTGAAAAGTGATTTGGATAGTAACTGAAATTGAGCTCAGTCAGTTGGTATATCTAGTTAACTTCACCCTTTTATAGTGTTCAAACCACATGAATTTTCTTTTTTTGCAAACTCAGTTTTTTTCTTTTTTTTTTTACGGCCTTTTTTATCAATTAAAGAAGAAAACAACCCCCATATTTTCAAGGGTAAGAACTCAGACTTTTGAGATTCCATTTAGATGAGCCTACTAATCTTAAAACTCTTAATAAGTTTGCTTTTCTTTTAATGCCTTGCCTCAAATTGTGCAGCTATTTTTTTTGATTCTTTGAAAATGTAAATCTATATGAAAACCTGTTATTGAAATCAAATCATCAAAGTTTTTAAGAATTGTAATAATTCTGTTAAAAGTTGATGAATAATTAAACAGATTGGTATCTTGATAGCTTGAATATTTAATAAAAACTAAGTTTTTATCTGCCTGTGTTTGTTTGCACTCAGACTTGTACTTGAGATGAAGATTCTAGCCAATTCAATCCATGTCTTAGATTCCTTATAGTCCTTTTGCCTTAGATTTGGCAGAAACAGAGAAGTTTGGTATAGAATGGTACTTAAATTTTCTGGTTCTGAGAGACTGTCCCTAGTCACTTTCAGATGGAATAATAAACTAATGCTCTGTGTGTGGCTGACTAAATGTGAAAGTCAAAAGTAAGGCACACACAGGTGAAAAGCCTCATTGCACACTGCAGGGTTTACTTAATAAGAATAGAAAGATTGAAATTTCATTGCGATACTTTAGTGACCCTGTTGGTTAATTCAATGAGTCTTACATTGGTATTCTTGTTTTTTGAAGATTTAGAATTGACTCAGTTAATGATTACTTTTCTTTGCACCAATAACTAAAGTCTAATGTAATCGATAGAAGAAAATGCAATATAAAGTAAATGTAGAGTGTACATTATGCTTAAAGAGCTCTTAAAGGATATTTCCAAGGTCGAGACAGAAATTAATGGCTTTACATTCAATATAGCAAAGGTTAAATTTGCTTTCAAAATACTAATGTATTGTTTTGATAGAAAGGTTCAATTAGAACTGTGCACCTGCGCAAGACAATTATTTACATTGTCAAAGTATATTAAGCTCACATTTATTTTCCAATTAACTGAGATTCTAAATCAATTTTCAGAATCTAATTAGGAATCAATTTCAGACTTTATAGAAGCATTCTGTTAATTCCTGCAGATTCTAATAGTTCTTTGATTGCAGGAAGCAAGCTCCATTGGTTTCAGAAGTCATGCTGATACTTGCATTTGCATTGTTAAGGACTGTGATTTTTAACATAAGATTATTTTTCAGGATTTATGGAGTTTTTATGGAAATTGATGAAGATTGATGTCGAATTAAGCTCTGTTGACTGTTCCAGAACACATGCTAATTTGTATTGTGAACATTCAAAGCACATGCATTGTTTGTGGGTGACCTAATTTATCATTCAGTCTATTTTGTGCTGTTGCTAATTTGACTGTGATGAGTGTGTCTATAACAAGACAGGACACCTTTTGAGAACATCTTTAATGTTGATCTTGAATGTTTTTGATATAGCTCAAATTTAATTTCAAATATTTTAATCCATTTTTCCATTGAATCTTCTGTCTTGTTGCTAAGTTCTATGATTTGACATTGAGCACTTAAGGTGTTAGTCATCATAGCATGTAATTAAGGTAAGAATTGCATGAAATTTTAATTGCATGGTTCCAATTAAACCCCTGCTGATTTGCAAGTGGCTTCTGCAATATAATTATAGTTTGGATCTCCACTCATTCGATTGACTGACCAAATTAGGACAATGACAAGAATGAACTCCATGGTGCAGTGGTTAATTAACCAATCAGATGTATTGTTACTAATTTCCAGAAAGCGCTATTGGACATGCAATGTATGTGTATCGTACATGTTGAGATGTGAATTCTATTGGCATTAATTACCTCTGACATGCTATAAGGATGTTAATCTATGTCCAATGGTTGAAATTTGTTCAATGATGTCCATGATTCATTAATGAATTCAGAGTTTTAAAAATGGATTCCTACTTTTAGAAAAAATCTTTGTTCTAAAGGGATATCCCAATATTTACACAATACAGAATGTGCTTTGTAATAAATAAATAAAGCTTACAGAAGCTATATGTAAGCTTATATGCGCTAAAATTATCCTAGTTACTCTACCCACATGCCTGTTAAAAAAAAATCTAGTTCATCTACAATATAAATAAAAACTGAAGCCTAAAAGGCAACCGATATTGGCAACAGACAATCAAATTGATTTTAGGTTTTCAGAACGTAGCTTATTGTCATAAAAACAGGAAAAATATTTCAAATATTCAAAAAAGAATAAATGTCTAAATGGTAAGTTTTAATACGAGAATATCCAGTAATTGACTAAAAAAAACTGTAAATGCATGATAAATTAATAAAATTCATTAGAAAAATGCTCATCAAGATAATTATGGTATATTTTTTTTTACTGGCATTAGCCATGAAATATTCATTCTGTATTTGCTTGATTCCATGGCAGTACCCATGGGTTTTATAATCTCATCTGTATGTTTTATGCATGGCCGCATGGTTTTAGATCAAGTTTAGACTTCCACCAGAAAGTCAATGTGATCTTATAATGAATGTACAGAAGTTGAATTTCAATACTTTACAAGGAATGTATTGTATAGTGAAAACAATAGAATTTACTTGCTGGCACAGTAAAAGATTTATTGACAGTAAGGTGAGATGGTGAAAGATTTCTTGACAGTAAGTTGAGTTGGTGAAAGATTTCTTGACAGTTAGCTGAGTTGGGATGTATAGACAGTAAGTTGAGTTGGTGAAAGATGTATTGACAGCAAGTTGAGTTTGTGAAAGATGTATAGACAGTAAGTTGAGTTGGTGAAAGATGTATAGACAGCAAGTTGAGTTGGTGAAAGATGTATAGACAGCAAGTTGAGTTGGTGAAAGATGTATAGACAGCAAATTGAGTTGGTGAAAGATGGATAGACAGTGGGTTGAGTTGGTGAAAAATGTATAGACAGTAAGTTGAGTTGGTGAAAGATGTATAGACAGCAAGTTGAGTTGGTGAAAGATGTATAGACAGCAAGTTGAGTTGGTGAAAGATGTATATACAGTAAGTTGAGTTGGTGAAAGATGTATAGACAGCAAGTTGAGTTGGTGAAAGATGTATAGACAGCAAGTTGAGTTGGTGAAAGATGTATAGACAGTAAGTTGAGTTGGTGAAAGATGTAATGACAGTAAGTTAAGTTGGTGAAAGATTTCTTGACAGTAAGTTGAGTTTGTGGAGGATTTCTAGACAGTAAGTTATGTTGTTGAAATATTTCTAGCTAGTAAGTCGAGTTGTTGAAAGATTTCTTGACAGTAAGTTGAGTTGGTGAAAGATGTCTTGACAGTAAGTAGTTGGTGAAAGATGTATAGACAGTAAGTTGAGTTGGTTAAAGATTTCTTGACAGTAAGTTGAGTTGGTGAAAGATGTATAGACAGTAAGTTGAGTTGGTGAAAGATGTATAAACAGTAAGTTGAGTTGGTTAAAGATGTATAGACAGTAAGTTGAGTTGGTGAAAGATGTATAAACAGTAAGTTGAGTTGGTTAAAGATGTATAGACAGTAAGATGAGTTGGTGAAAGATGTCTTGATAGTAAGTTAAGTTGGTGAAAGATTTTTTGACAGTAAATTGAGTTGGTGAAAGATGTATA